GGGCACCTTCATGGATTTTCTTCAAGTACTGAGTCTGCTTTACAAATCTTTATAAACTTTTATTTTGGGCCTAATACGAAATGGCAGCTCTTCATCTACAATACCACAGACTCTGCTAATCTTTTATGAGTGAGTAATTGTCTTCATAAAGTACCCATTTAGTCAAGAGTGGATTCCATGCTGGTGCAAAGAATAATTCTGTATTTGGTAAAAAGGAACAATCCTGTGCTTTGAGTTGATGTCAAGAGTAAAGAGAGTCTCTAGGGAAAGGATGGGTCAGATGACTTTATTTTATGGAAAATATTCTTCACATGCACAGAATGGACTCTCATTACCTTTCCCTCCAACAGTCAGGGGAAAAAGCGTATGACAAAATAGGGAAGATGAACGTAGGAAAGGCAAAATATTGCACACATTTCTATTTCTAACCTAGATAAAAAACAGACAGACTTCTCTCCCTGTCACCCTCCTCACTGGACATTCTATAGAACTGTGTTGTTCTGAATGCTTTCCACAAGCTTTTGTTTAAAGAAAAAAAAAAAAAAAGTATTATTTGTGCTTTTTAACAAAAGGCATATTTTCACTTATAAAATCTGAACAGAAACAATTAAATGGAATAAAAAGTACAGTTTATATCTGTAATTTACTATAACCATTCTAATGTTTCAGACACCAATAAACATAGTTCGTTTCTATTTAATGTAAAAATAATCACTCCAAGATGGCATTAATTTGCCATCCTAAAGAAAACAAAAATAATAAACCTTTCACTTTCTGCATTCAAGACTCTTTGCACTAAGTTCTGTAACCTAGCTATATAAATATTCTAGTGTAAATATTTAAAAGGAACAACTGAATTATCTTTGACATGGAAGATTTCTTAACCTCTATTAATTCATCTTTTATTACTACTGTAAAAGGAAAATATTAATTACATCTATCAAATCTTGGACATGCTTACATGTCTTTCATGACAAAATCTATATTTTTGTTTATCCTTCCAGCTTTCTGAGAATGCCTGTTTTGTCCATTGACTTATGGCACTTATGAAGTGCAAATACCTGGTCCAAATGAGAAAAGTACTTGTATTCCTTAACTTACATGCAGTGAATATTTAGTTTAAGTGTTCTCTCTTACACTCATATGAACAGATGCTTTTTTGCTCTTTTACTGTCTGAAACTATATTAGCAAGAAAAATTGTCATTCTGGTCAATTGTCTAGGTCCCAGTTCTGTAAAATGAGTATCTGAAAGCTAGGCATTTTGGAAGAAAACTGAAAATTATGTTATTTTATATAAAATTAGAAACATGAAGTTGGCCTACTTCTAGGGCTAGGAACAAGATGAGAAAGCTGCCCAAAGCATTGACAAAACATGGAATATTTCTCACTGTGTGGCCTGTTGACTAATAGATGATGCAACAGGCTGGACAAATCATGAAACACATCAACATTATTAAAACTTAATAGTCTTCTACTAACAACTTCATAAAAGCTCTGAATAAATCTGTTCAGAGCTGGAACTCGAACAAATATTGGTCAATGAGAAGCAGAATATAAGCTGTGTTTCAATAATTACTGAATTATAATTGAAACTAAATTGTTGCACATGGAATAGGATAAAAACTAGAACTAATTAATTACTTTGGAACTAAATAAACATTGGTACTGTGGTGTGAGCCTAAGGGGTTTTTGTTCTTCCTTTGTGCTATCAAAGTTTTTATGCTTGGTTGCAAATGGAAAGGCCAAGATTTATCCAAGTTTAACTATCCTGTGGATATATGGGAGATACAGGAATCCAAGGTGAGTTTAGCAAGCTTTTAAGTGTGGTCCAGTTAAGGATCTGGACTCTAATTGGAACTTTGAGAACTCAGTACTGCTTACAGCCAACCAGTATAATGTCTGGAAATTGAAATGAACCATAAGTGTGATGACATGGAAATATGTACAAATACGAAATATCTCATGTTTCAGTCACTGTAGAGTCATTAATTGACTCTATGTTGTACAAGTCTTTGGATACCTAAGAATAAGGCTACTCATTACATATTCAAATGGTCAGTCAAAATTCGCCTCCACAAACACCCTCACAGTTTAAATAGGCTGCAATTTCAAACCATGGACATGGCAAAATACTTGATTTCCTACATTTGTATTGTCTCCAAAGACCACAGTGATGGAATTAGATGCTTCTTACAAATTCTTGCTATTAACCACACTGTGTCCACCTAACCAGGCACTGAGTATTCTCAGGGTTTGCCTCTCTCTCCTCATTGTTTCCAGTCATGTTGAGTTGCCCAGAACCTCACACTTACACTGACTGGAAAAGGTGTGATCTCTATCTGTGCCACATTGTACTTTGCTGAGAAGAGGCAAAAGACCAAGCTAAAGCTATATAGAGACAGTAGTAACAAAGGATCTGGCCTGAAAATCACCATTTTGAGAAAGCAATGGTATGAATAAGGCATGAAAAACCTTAGGAGAGAATTCAGTAAAGGGGCAAGGGAAGAAAAGAAGATGGACACAATGTGAGGTCATGAGGTTTCTTGTAAACTCAACGCAGTGGTGAAGTCACCACCGTGTGCACCTGCTTCTAAACATGGCTATCTGTGTAGCAGAAGAAAAAGCACCAGCATAGTTTGATAAGATACTGATCTTTAATCTATAGAGAAGATTAAATTCAAAGTTTAACAGTATAAAAGAATAACAAATACTTTTTAAAACAAAAATACAAGGTAACACACGGTTGCATCTTGGTTCCTCCTGCTGCCAAAGCCTAGAGTACATCAAAGTTTAACAGTATAAAAGAATAACAAATACTTTTTAAAACAAAAATACAAGGTAACACACTTGATTCCTCCTGCTGCCAAAGCTTAGAGTACACAATTTCTGGGGTACAATTCCACTGCATACAGTGTTTCCTATCACTTCAGCATCAGTTGAAATTGAAACAAAACACTTTTATTTGCAGAAAAGCTTTTCCAGGTACAAGCTCAAGCCAGGGTGCTATGATGATTAGCTAGTCACATGTCAGATCCCACACGTTATTTAAACAATCCAGAATAAAATCACTTCTTGCTGCAACATTCCTGCCTTTTCATGTCAGCTCCTAGATGCCAGCAGTCCATCTACCACTGCATCGATCAACACAGCTGCTTGTAACTCACAGTCGTTCGAGAGCTGAACCTTTTTTACTTGGGTCCCCTCCTCTAAATTCACATCCACAAGTTCTTATTTTCCTCAGGCACACACACAAAAAAAAGCACTGGGGGGAAAAATGACAGAGAAGGTATGAAAACTTGTGAGAATCCTTTCAGACAGCCAGAAAAAAGCCTCAGGCAGGGGTGATGTGAATAGCCCGTCCTGACAGCAACTGTTTGTAACTTGTTGAGCTTTACCTTTCGTGGACCCCGAGGCAAACTGAAGAGTTGATGGGGGTAGCCAGGTGTAGGGGAACAAAAGGTTGAACAATCTGTTTAGCCCTCCCCATCTCCTTATAGTTAGATTTACAATTCTGACCCATAAAAACTCTGCTTCTGCTTTGCACTGACCCCAGAAACATGCTTTTAGGCCTAGGCTGAACCAGACTGGTGTGACATTGCAAGCCATTTTACTCCTTTTTGGTTTGATGTATTAATAACTCAAGTGAAAACAAACGGGGAAAAATCCTACCAAAACTTATAATGGAAGACACCTCAAAAATGGATAAAAGGATACTTTTTTCTACAAGTATCCCAACTGAAAATAACTGCTTTGAATCCATTACTGGTTGCATTCTCATTGCGTGATCTTTGGAAAGCATAATAACAACAACAAAACCAAAATGAAATAAAATATTGCCACCGATGAAAAATCTGCTCAGTTAAAAACTGCAAAATCAAATAAACAGCAATTTACATGCTTCCCTCAGTGCTGCAAACCTGAAATATCCAACACTGCTTGGACAAAATTGAGAATACAGTAGACTTTTCAGCATAACTCAAATGACAGTATTGACTAAGAAAAACAAGGCATACTATTGAAACCAAAATACATAGAATCAGGTTTCTGTGCTACTCTTTGCCAAAAAGCTATCTTTTAAAAAATGGTTTAAATGCAAACTTTTACACCTCCAACACGTTTTACATATTTAAGACAACAAAAGAATACACATACATTGTATGTGATAATTTTTCAAAACTAGCCATTACATTTTCACAGATTAAAAAACAAAAGTCTGTTTAAATATTTCATTTCTACAAAGTGAATTTACATTTTAAGTACAAAGTGCAAATACTACAGTTGTTTTTATTGCCTTTTGGTGAGGAAATCTCCCACATGTCAGAGATCTGTCTTGGATCAGTAAGGTGTTCACCCTTGCTTCTTAGAAACTTGCTGAAAGAAAGTTGGAAAAATTTGCATTAATCATATTTTCAAGTAATCAAGTATCAACATTTATCTCTATTTTTCAGTAGTGTCCACATGCTACTATCATAAAAAGAGTTCTGCACAAAGATATATGGGGAATAAAAAAATCCTGGCCCTGTAGCTCTTAATGGCACCTACAAACAAGGGTATGAACAACATCTTTATTATTTAACTATAGCCTCTTTAAACCTATACCTGTCAAACACACAGTTTTAGCAACTGCCTGGGCAAATCCCTGGTGCAATATACCTTTCTATGGCATGTGATGTATAACGAATGGGCTGCTGGCCAAGGTCTTATGAACAATCTATGGTTGCCTTGTAAACTTTCTGCTAGGCTGCAAAAGACCCTCTGGGTCTCATTGACAGCATGTGTGCACATATGTGTATGTTTGTTGGACAGGGTGGAGTTGAGCAAGGGAAATATACCTGGCCACTACCCCAGTTCTGTCAGATATGTCATGTATTTGAACTCTTTCAGAGCAACCTCCACTGAGACTCAGCACATGAGTATATGCATCTATATCTGCTTCCTTTCAGTGAGCTTGTATGTGCGTGTACACATACAGAGGTACGCATATCCAAAAAAAATGTATTAAGGAATACATGCCTAGACACACACGAACATATATACAAAGGAACTGCCACAATAAACTAGTAGAAAATGAGCTCTTGAGTGCTCATCTCCTGAGTGATGCAAATCTGATTGCTCCTTATTACATGGGAGCTTTCATTCGAGCAGCTTCAACTCAGCCCAGTTGCTTTTCAATAACTTCCTTTCAAGTGAAAAGTTTTGTGATGAAAGCCACCTTCTGCATTTGCAGCCTTGTATTGTTTGAGCATGAAACTGCCAACAGATGGTTTGCTGAGCCAGCCTTAATTCAAGGCTATCATTTGTCAGCAACAGCTTTTAAAATAATTGGTGCTGAGTCAGCAAAATTATTGGACAAAATTAAAAAACATAGATGCTCTAGGACACTTTTATTACAGATTCTGCAAGTCAGGATCAGATTACAAGGAAGGGGAGAGGGCTTGTCGTGCTTCAAGTGTAATGCACGTGTGCCAGTAATTGCCATTATATAATTAAAATAACCCCTTTGAATGTTTTCAAGTTCCGACGGGATAATTGTTTTCAGGCTGCCCTGTTTAAAGCATAAGTGATTTGTGGGGGAAACTTGAAAAGTTAAGACCACAAACCTTTGTTTAAACAAACCAAAACTTATCACATCCCTCTAGCTGTGAGAATATTTTATATTCCATCAAAGGTATGTAGGAGGTCTCTGGTAGAGCCCACAACCAGTGTTGAGCTTGCCTTAGGAAGTGTGAACCTAACATCAAACAAATCAGAGATAAAGCAAGTAACAAATTGACTAGCAACAATGAGAGGAAGATTTCTCTTGGCTTGTAGGGAGGTTCACCCTGGGTTCAGTCTTTAACAAATTAATCTAGCTGTCCGATAGATGGGAAGACGTTAACTACAACTATGGCTTGGGGATATTTTTAGCCAAATTCCTTTTTTTCCAGCTGCAGGGATACCTGAGCTGTTCTTATATTTATAATAATATTTTTAAAAACAACTCATCATTTACTGATGCTTTTGTGTGGGTATTGATCATTTAATTTCTCTAATACAAAACTGCATTTTATGAATTGTACAAAGATGACTCTTTCACTAGACCATTCACATAACTGGCAGACTCACAAGTCCATTTTCAGACCCATGTATCAGTGCTAGAAAGGTGTGACCATGTTGCCCAGAAAAATCAGTCTTTAGGATTCATGATTATAAAAATAGTCACGCACAAATGAGAAACCCTTTTTTAACCTTTTTTTCCTGAGCTTCCACTTGAGTATCTCCTTCTTAATGTGTGCCTTTCCTCTATTAAAAATTCTGCTTTTGTGCCTTTTGTAGCTCTGAATGCCTAGAGCAGCCAAAACTCCATGAATGACATACACTGGTGTTATTCAGAAAAACAAAATCAAGTCTATGCAGAAAATTGATTCAAAAACAAATCATGGATTATGTTGTCAGGGCACTTGACATTTTATTTGCTGCAATCATTCTGCAGACCTAACCAATTTTAGTTTTAACATACATCAGCAGACTGATGCAAATCCTAGTTCACCAGCATAATTTTGCCCAGTCAGTAAAGGCATTTGAAAGTGACAGCTCTTTTCTTTACACTAAGATTTTAAAAGGTCTTTAAAGCCACCGTGTAATAATTCAGTGTGGTTTCTGAAATGTATAGATTTTCATAGGGCATGGGAAATGCATGGCTTTGTTCACAAAGAGTAATTTCAATCAATGTAGGTTTGTGTTTATATTTTGACTATAACTATTCAGTTAAAGTAAAAGGTAAATGAAGATAAAGCAATGCACATCTAAAAGTGTAGGGGAATGCTGTCATTCAGGAATGCAGAAGACTCATAGGAGGGCTCAGTTACACTCCTCTAATTGTCACTAACCTATCTGCCAATTCACACTTTACTAGGAACATACCATGCAGGCCTAATCCACTTTGCGTTTATGCATATTTACTTTGCACCTGTGGTTGACTGATTCAGGTTTCTTTAGACCAAAAGTAAGTCAAAATTTGGCACCTTCCTGGCAATTCTGCAAAATGGCAGATGAATGCAGTTTGAAGCTGCAGTGATAAATGATAAAACTGTAAGAATCAGGGTATTCCTGGGCAAGGCAGGAATGGAGATCTTGCTCTCCTCAGTACTCACCTGCCTACTGGATGAAGTGCTCTCCGTGTTGGTTTTAGGGGCCGCTAAAGGAGGGAAAAGAAAACGCTATAAATATGGTTTGCAAGTTATATGGAACATCCGCAAGAACTGAAGCCTTCATTCTGAAATGGTATTTTTTTTAGAGCAGGATAACTTCACCGCTTTCAATAGAAGAGATCAAATATTTCAGATCTTTCATTGAAACATCTACTTTTTTCTTTCCTCAATACAGGTGTTGCTTCTTTCAAGGAGTTATATGAAAGTTGAATGACATGTATGACATTTGCTTAGGACAGATTGCATCTAGTCAGTGTCAAACTCATTAAATCTTTAGTATTAAATGTAGCCTTGGAAGGAAGCGTGGACAAGCACTGTCTGGAAAGCATTCACTTTGCCTAAAGATAATGCACAGGAACAGCTCTATGAGCCAAAGACATTGTTCACATTTAATCTGTAAAACAACAAGATTTTCACTGTTTTTTAAATTTCTTAGTGGCAAAGTCCAACATACTGATCTACATGGGGAAAAAAAAAAAAAAAAAGAAAAAAACAGCTACATGAGTCTCCTGGCCCATTCAACTTCAGAAACAAACTCAGGAGGCAAAGGAGGAATTCACTCTTGTGCTTGGTTTTCCATGACAGTTTTCCAGTCAATCAAGTTTCACTGGGACAAAGAGAAACGAAACTGGACCTTGAAAAATAATGCAGCAAGTAACATTCCCCTGAGAAAGTATATTTTGCAGCTCTCTGGCTTAATATTGCTTCAAATGGTTTTCACAGGACACCTGGGATTCACACAGAATAATACAGAACTGGCTTATCTCAGCTCTCACACTTCTGTTCATGGGGTCTCACTGATTCCTAGAAATATCACACTGGCTGTAGCAAAGTAGAGATTGGTTTCTTTTGTATAAGTAAAAAGATTATCAGAAAGGAAATTTTAATTAACAAGCAGGAGAAACAAAACAGAATGCTGATATTTCAACAAAAGCATGTTTTACTCTCTTGTTTTTAAAAGTATGTATTTCTAGAAAAGCAATCAAATTATTTGGTTTTGTTTTTTTTTTTTCCAAAGTTGATGCCATTAGCTTTTCAATGCCAAAGTTTTGAGGTATTTTTTCCTTCCAAAAATGAATGTACTCATTATTGACTACATTTTTTTGGAGAAGTTCTATTAAAAATCTCCAGTTATGGTGAATGTGATTTTTACTTTAGTTATATCTCTGTGTGATCTTCATATAATTTCATGCATCACTCTAAGGTCCCAGACAAACACTTTGCCTGTATTCATGTTCTGTAACTTCTTACAACTTCCAGAACTTCTGTTGTGTTTACAATTTTTTTTTTTTTTTTAATTCTTCCTCATTTTCATGCATTGTGTTACTGAACTCTACAGGGACTGTTACACACTGCAGTTAGCTGTTCCCCTTCCTACCAGTTTGGCACCAAGGTAAGCTGGCTGTTTACCAGCAGTTGTTCCACCTGTTTGACAGATGACCACATTCCTCACAGTATCTCTAAACCACACTGGAGAAATAAGAAGTCATTAGAAAGCTCCACAATGTGCTTCCTTCCCGGCAGGAATCCAAAAAGCACAGCTCAGGATACTTCGGCTCACTCAGGACATAGCACTGTAATAACATTAAACTGGCTTTTTGATGACTGTTGATGTTATCGTATCCTCCCTGGTTTGTTGCTGTATTACATTTAAGGATCAGAATCAACAGCAAGGTTTTGATTCTGTTGGAGCAAAGTGATGAATTGCTTACACAGAAGCAGCTTTCCTGCCACCTGCCATAAGCAGCAGCTGCAGTAGCTATAGACAGGTATATTCTTCCACTTTGTATACTTCTGGCACATACAAATATCAGACTTCATCAGCTGTGAAGAATCTAGTAAAAAAGACAGTTAGAAAAGGTTCTTACTATGGTGTTTCTTTGTTTCTGCTTTACCTTCTTCTTTCGTTACTCCCAAGCAGCCCATTAATTCTTGAACTGACAAGGACTTATCGTTGTTCACATCACAGTATTCCACAAACTTCTTCACACATTTTTTGGGTTTTGATTTCTTTCTTAGGAATCTCTTAAATGGCTTGATTTCTTTCTTGCCAATGTCGCCACTGGAATTTTTATCTAGTTGTTTGAAATACCAATGGACCACTCTCTCTTCCAGAGTATGATTTGGATCAGGCTCTGAAACCCTGAAACAGAAAACAAGGAGTTTAGTCTTAATTCTGATACATGAACCTCAGATTATACCTTTATTTCAGAATAGTTAAAGCAGTGTCAGATGCTTTGTTACATAAATCATTCACTAGCTTCTTACAGTGAATCCCTCTTTTTTTCACTCTGACCAACTGTATCCCAAGTTTTACACTAAGGGGTGAAATCTGTTCTTAGCTGACTGTCTGAAACTGTATTGAGATCAGCATCATACTCAGAAAACAGTGCTGTCCCCTTTCTTTTCCTGAAACAGAGAGAAGTAAGAAATAAAAGACAAAAAGACAGTTTCATAGAGAGCAGACACATTAAAATGCTTAATATACCCAACTGAAGTAGGTCAACAGTCAGCATTGCCAAATACCTAGACTCCAATTACAACACATGATGGATGCTCTTAGAGATAAAACACCTAAATGTATTGAATTACAGGGTAAGTTATAACAATAAATGCCACCTCCAGTTCAGATGGTAAGAACTCCTGACCTGCAGACACCCAGTGTTTGACATTACTTACACATTTTTAATTCTACCCATGACTGCTGATAGCATTGGTTTGTTTTACAAGCAACTGTGCAAAATAAGAATTAGGAAGGTAGGACACATTCATCAAGCCTGAGATGAGTACGAAGACAGACACACTTGCACCAGCAGCTACAGATAAGCTCTAAACTGCACTACTGCTGAGAATTCAACTATCAAGTGCATCCCTGTTTAGTGGATATAGTCCACTGGGGTAACTTTGAAGTAAACTCTCCTAGACACGTTCCTGGAAATTTACCCTTTATGAACTGGAAATTTACCATTTATGAAGGCAGAATAAGAATTACTTCTCAAAGCCCTCAACAGTTCATTCACCACTGCCAGAATCTTTTTGAAGACACACAAGAAGGATCTGTAACCCACCGGCTAGAAGACAGTGATGGATCAGAGACTGCGTGCACCATATCCGTGGACAACGCATCCAAAACACTAGTCAGGAATTCATTCTTCTTGGCCCCAGGGCAACCTAGAAAACCAGATTTTTTTTTTTTTCTTGTTTCCTCTTTTTACAACACTCAAATGCCAACAATAGTTCAAACTTAGAGACAGATGTGACTCTCTGTTCCCATAAAATGTGGACAAGTACATAACATAATTCAAAGACAAGCATCTAAGTTCAGATAAATATCTGTAAAATAGAACGGGAATAGAAAAACATCCTTTTGAACTCAAGCAAGTGGGAAACTGGTTTGCAAGCCTTGGATCCCTTTCTTTAAATTTTGGGCATTATTTTTCCTCTTTAAAGATAATTTTTATCTTAATACTGGCTGCCACATTTTGAAAAGAACAGCTTTGAAACAACAGAAGTTTGTACATGACACAGACCATTTGAAACAAAGACTAGAAGTCCACAGTACAGTACTTCTTTCAGATTTCCACCTTTGTTCCTGTGAACTACCATTGGTTTTCTCAACACACATTCTCTCAATATATTGGTTTTCCACTCTGTAAAATGACAGTCATCTCCTTGTCTCTTTCACTTTTCTCTTGGCCAGGGCTTAACTCTCACTGTGACACCTAGCCCAGTTGGATGCTGTTAGTTGGCACTTTGGTTCATACTGTGGGATCCTCCAGTTGTGCTAGACCATCCTCATAATTATACTCCTTATGCCACAAGGTTCTTCTCTGAAACTAACAGCACATTTCAGAGACATAATACATCAGATGAATATATACTGAAAGATCCACTCTTAGAGCAGTGCAGCTGGAGCAGATAAATTCATCTGACAAGCACATGGATGTTGACACATCAAGGTTTGCTTATACAATACACCTGCTTCCTCTCCCCTTCCCTACAGCCCTGAGCCAAACATCAGGTCCATCCCTAGCCCGGTAATAGCTGAAGTAAACTCTAGGATGATCCACATGCAGTGACACAGAGATGACAAGCTTGAAGCTCAAGCCCACGACAGGACTTTCACAGACAATTCTGTGCTGGAGGCGTGCTTACCCACAGTTCTGTTCTTAAGTGAAAAAGGGAGATGCTTTGAAGTGTTGTGGAAAAGGAAGATTAGTCAATCAGTAGGGATTCGTTATTTCATTACACTTCTCAGAGACCTCTGGAGTAGGCAGTAGGATTATCTGTGCCTGAAAAGCCTCATCTTGCCCAGCAAATTACTTTTTAATACATCCCATGTTGATCCAAAGAAATGAACCTGTGTTATATTAGCCCTTAGCTGTGTTGCAGTAAGAATAGCTCAGCTATTATGTATAGCAGCAGCAGCAGCACCCACTACATGTTATTGTCTAACACATTCATGCAGTTATGAGTTCCCTGTCTCTAATGTGCTCGCCTTTGGCACCAGGGACATTTTATTCCAGTAACTGTAAAAGGCGTATAACAAGAATTAACTCAAGCAAGTTTCACTGCACTAAAAGTAGACATCTGAAACCAGTTGTCACCCTCCTAGATATATTCCTCTTTCCTTAGCCTTTAACAAATTAGAACGAGGGGGGGAAAAAAAAAAGGAAAAAGGAAAAATGAAAGGGAAAAAAAAGGCCAACCTAACAGCTATGAATATAATCCTAAATTTGAATTCAGTGAGACAAGCAGTTGAGCCTTCTCTGTAGGGCACAGAAATGAGAAGGGTGGCAAGAAAATAGTAGAGACGGACAGAAGACTGTACCAACAGATTCCTGGTAGCATTCAGTGTATAATTCAAAAGTATATTTTCCAGAGCAAAGAGCTTGCTGGTAAGTAAGGCTCAGACACTACAACAGTGTAAGTAAATTCTGCATTGTGATTTAAATGAAGCCACATGACTTTGCATATCACAAAAGAACATTTGCCCCGAGAGCAGGCAGAGCCCAGGCAGTTCCCTCTACAGAAGGCACATCCAGCTGGTAAGTCACTAAGCAACCTACTGAGCTCAGCACTACATCTTACTAGCAAGGATACTTGTCCTCTGGATCAGAGCTGGTTATCTTCAAAGGGAGAGGCAAAACCTGTCTTGAGTGATATAAGCTTTATCCACTTTGTGCTGTGGTTGTGTTACTGTCATCAGGCAGAAGCCTGAATCCTGCTCCAAACATGAGTTCTGAATTGATAAAGGGCTTGTGAAAAACACAGACAATAATACCTCAGCGTATAATAATGCAACACAATATGGAGACAAGACATTTTGACTTTTTTCTGTCTCTGTCCTTCTTTGGATAGATAATAATGTTAATATCCAATTTGATTTAGGAGGTCCACCTGCATTTTCTATGTTAGTTATGCATGTATTCCTGAAACATCTGGAAGAAACAAAAATGTGTTCTTTAGGTAGTTCCAAATGCTGTCCAGGGAGCTACTGAGTGTACATATGCTACAGATATAGAGACCAAAATCAGGACTTAGCATGCTATTTATGAGATACAGCTAGGTAGGCAAAAGTATCAACTTCTAAATTCACAAGAAATCATGGGGAAAAAATTCCATAGTTTAAAGCTAGTCTCTGACAATTTTTCCTAAGATTAAGTAAGATTCCTAAATGTGTATTGCATAAAGTTGCAACAGCAGCTGAAATCTCCTCATAGAAAAGAAATCTTGCTGTTAAAAACAAGCACAATCGGTTTCTGTGAAACATTCTGAATTATAACTCTACTATTTAACGTAAAATGACACCCCACAAAATCCTCACCAGTTAAATACAGAGAAAATATTCAGTTTCTCCCAATTATAATTTCTGCTGATGTGTGGGTAATCACACAGCAATTTACCTCACAGTGAAATCTCTGTTCTTTGCAGGTGTTATTAACTCAGAGTATTTCTCTGGAGGCTTCACGCTGAGCTTTAATTTTCAACAAACTTGTGGATGAAATGACAAGACTGGGGGAGCTTTAGCTTGATTGTAATGAATAATTCACTCTTACTGGACTAAATACAGAAAGGGAAAGACTAGTCTCTTATGGGAGCCTTATGCTTCTCACTATGGTTTATGTGCTTCAGTTTCTTCTGCAGCTGCTTGTCTTGTGTGAATTTGACAGCTTACATAAATAATAATTTGTTGTTAAAGTGTTGAAGTTGAAACCACATGGAGTTAACCTACAGGTTCAGAGATGTAACATAGAGTTTAGTGTTTGCTTTAAGGATAGTTTTACCCAGAGCAAACCTTAGACCAACAAATACATACCACAAATGACAGGAATATACAAACACCTCATTTCAGCTATAATATAAAGGTAACCAAAGAATCGTCATTATACATTATATATCTCATATGTACATGTGTCTCGCTATAAATATATCTACCATTAGTACTGAGGATGGATTTTGGAGCCAAATCTGTGGGGAAATTGTCTATAAACCTCCTAAAATATGCACCCAAGTGCCTTTGAACTCCCTGCTTGGTTGATAATAATCTACTAGTGTCAATTTTGAAAAATTATCTTTTACAGCACATCTGAAGTCATGAGCAGAAAAGTATTTTGTTAATTTCTGTAAAAGTGTGAATACAATAGATAAGATTAATCAGTTTAAAAGGGAGTTTCCATTAATCTTCCTGCAAGAGAAGAAATTGTCTTGTCTCAGTCACTCGAGTTATTAAAGACATGACAACTTCCAATTAGCAAATCTAAAGCTTCTTTTTTATTCCCTGTTTGTTAATATGAGTATTATGACTATCAGGCTTAGCAGTGCATTCAAATGTAATAACTCTAAAGCTTATAAAGAAGTTTAGATCTACCAAAAATCAAGATGATCAGAGCTATTCATGATTCTGTTGCAGTTTTGAGTTCACTGAACCACAGTGATACCAGGAGAAAAGAAAATTTAACAAAATTTGTCAGTGATATTGGTTATACTGGGAGAGCAGGCAAAACAAGGAAAATATTTTTTCTTGGACTTTTATCCTATACACACATATATGCATAGCTCATGAGTTTTTTTCTGTTGGTCCAGATAAATCACAAGTTTGTGTTTGTCTAGATACACTGAGGGCCCTCATCATTTTTTTTTTTGGAGGATTTCCTGAGCCCCATTACAGAAAAAAAGCTCTTCCAAAGCTTTTGAGCTTGTGAACTGAAATTTGTAACTCTGCTGGAAACTAAAAATCATGTCCTCAACAGAGTCCATGAATTTATCGCTCACTGCAGTTTTTCCCTCACTGCACCTCCTGGTAACTTTTCACAGGGTTAGTCTCTAACATAGGGGGGTTGAGGACATTATCATCTCTCCATGTTAATGACCCTCAGGTATTACTCTTTTTTTTTCTTCTTTTTTCTCTCAAATATTCTTACCAATTAAAAGAATTAAGTTAGACTCAAAGCCAAATATCTCTTTTAACGGTGCTTACTCAAATTTAAGAAATAATAAGAATACATCAGATGTTAGCTGCAAGAGAGTTACAGATCCATTGCTTTGTAGCCCCAGATCTCCATGTCTTACAGGAAAAAAGTATTATTTCTGAAGGGCAGGAAGCAGATTTCAGTTCTCCATATACATTTATTTTTGTTACTATTTTAAAATGATCTTTCTGTTCTAATTTTTTTTTTTGGGGGGGAGGGGGGGAGGGAGGGGAACAAAAGAGATAACAAAGGAAGTTCTTTCAAGGCCCCACCCTTCAATCCCCAGCATTCGTATCATACCAAAGCGCCTTGCGTGGGATTTGTTGAACTTGAGCCTCCTGAAATGTGGTGTCTCGCCCATAACAGTTATTTAATTCAGTATAAAGGAACCCATTCAGAAGGCATTCATCCCAACTACCTTAAACTTTTTCTTAGAATAGGGCACAATCTCCTTTAACATGTATCTCTCTTTCCCCATTAACTACTGAGGAAGCCCAGACAGCTAACTTACTCTCCCAGGTGATGGAAAACTGCTGCTGCTGAATTCTATATGTAGCTGGTTTGAACGTTCATTTAGGCTCAAACTACTCTGTTATTCTTTGGGTAGAAGTGGTGGAAAGAGGGGATAATGTTCATAGCAGACCCACATTTTTGCAGGCAACTGAGTGACAAAGTTAGGCTAGGCCATTTGGTGATAGG